AGTCTCCCTTGAAGGCGGAGATGAGAAACTGCCATGGCATAAGGGAGACCTTCTGCCTCTTTGAGTTAACGGATTTCCCGCTCGTTTAAGTAGACTTGACAACGGCTAGAGTACGAAGGGTGAGCCTCATGACAATTAAGGCAAGAGGGAGGTCAACTGCAAGACGTATTAGAATTGTCATCGGCACCACAGACTGGGCATTCGGCGATAGATCTGCAATATTTCGCTGGATGGCCAAATCGCCAGCAATTTCTACACTGTTGCAGTGTAGGGATCACCTTTCTAACGTGTAACCGATGTCCTGCTACATAAACTGAGGATGGGAGTTCACGGCTGTCAAAAGTTAAACGAGCCACATTGCTAGGGTATCGTCTCCGCCCGCGGGCAGGAAGAACATAAGTGTCTACCTTGAGGATTGGGAGATCTTGGAGTTCCAGCTGTTCAAGAATGTCAGTGCCACATGTCTGGAAATTTTGTTGAACTATGGTATGGGGCAAAATGACGGTACCACTACAAGAATTGAGGGAATGATGTTTTTCAATAGTGACAGGAACAGTATCGATATGGGAAAGACGAGAAAGCTCATGAGCCTGGGTAGCATTCTGTACGGTGATGATGAGCGTACCGCTCTTAAGAGCATGAAAAGAAATATCTTTACCAACATGGCGTAGGAGTGCCTTGCCAATACTGTGGTCAGAAAGATAGGCAGTAGAGGAAGTCGGTCGTAAAGTGAAGAATTTAGTCCATTGTGCAGTCTGAAACTGAGTGTGGAAAGGTAGTGAAGGACGTGTCGATCTTTTCTGAGAAGAACGAGAAGTATCATCAGCAGGTAATTGTCGTTGGCGTTTAGGCGTGGGACCAGAGTTGGTCCGACGTGGAACGGGTCGGCGATTCGAAAAGTGCCGCACCGTAGAGGGAGAGGCCGGAAGCATAGAGGAGAGCGAAGGTCAGATAAATCGAAGGAGCCAGTCGAGGCCTCAGTACCTGAAGCGGGTGAGGAAACAGCACCGGCAAGAGGTACAGAGGCAGGAGTGTCCGAAGAGTGGTCCAAAGACGAGGCGGGGTGCGGTATCGAGAAGGGGCCCAGGGGTAGCAGGTTCATGGACTAGGGCTGCCATGGTTAGGTTACTTCTTTCTTTTTGTTTTTAAGAAAAAAAAAAAAAAAAAAAAAAAGGGGGGGGGGGAACCGGGGAGGGATAGTTCCTAGGAGGAATGAAAGGGCCAGAAATCTCCCTCCGCGCCCAAGAGGACCTCAGCACCGCAAGTAGCACAGATGCAGCATGGAACCTGTGCCATACCCTACCCATCATGCCAGTAAACCGGCAATCACATCTGCCAAGCTACCTCGGTGGACAAAAGAGGGCGGCCGGAAATCCGCCACAAAGCATACCTCCTTCGGCCACCACCCCCGGAATCCGAAAGGTGGCTTCCAGAGATACACCCGTCGCCCGAGAGACACCCTCCGGGATACCAGAGAGGGATCGGGACATCCCCAGGCAATCCAGATTCCACGGCAAACTACGCCACCGCCAAGAACCTCAACGGAATGGGATGGACCCCGGTACCCTTTCCCCTACCTAGGAACTAGCGTGCCTGTGGGAAAAAGAAAAAAAAAAAAAGGCCAAAAAGGAAGGGCAAAAGGGAGGGGTGGGGAGGAGGAGGAGGAAAGGAAAAAGGGGAGGATGGGATAGGGAACGGGGGATTGGGGGGTAATTAGGTTCGGTCTGAGGAAGGAGACCGACAGGTCTAATTCCTCAGACCAAGAGCCTCTTCACCACACCAAGGAGCCCCCCTTGAAGAGGTTTTTGTTTAATAAATGTATGAAAGAGGGGAAGGTACCTAGGAATTGGCAGAGAGCATGTATAGTCCCTTTATATAAAGGGAAAGGGGACAAGAGAGTTTGTAAAAATTATAGAGGAATAAGTTTACTGAGTATACCAGGAAAAGTGTACGGTAGGGTTATAATTGAAAGAATTAGAGGTAAGACAGAATGTAGGATTGCAGATGAGCAAGGTGGTTTCAGAGTGGGTAGGGGATGTGTAGATCAAGTGCTTACATTGAAGCATATATGTGAACAGTATTTAGATAAAGGTAGGGAAGTTTTTATTGCATTTATGGATTTAGAAAAGGGCATTGATAAGTGGAAGGGAGCAATGTGGCAGATTTTTGCAAGATATGAATGGGTGGTAATTACTAAATGCTGTAAGATTTTTTTATAGGATAGCGAGGCTCCGGTTAGGGGTGTAAAGAGGGGGGTGACTACTTCCCAGTAAAAGTAGGCTTACAGGGATGTTAATGTCACCTTTTTTTTGTTTAATATATTATAGATAGGGTTGTAAAAAATCAGGGTGTTTTAGGAGAGGGGTGAAATTAAATACAAAAAGGGAATTGGGACATTGCCTTTTTTCTGAGATACTGTCTTATGGGAATTTTAAAGAAAAAATTTCAAAAGGTTTTGTGGGGGGTTTTTTGGGGTTGGTAAAGATTAAAGTGAACATGAAAACATAAGGTATGAGGGGACAAATTTAGTAAAAAAAATTGGATACAAATGGGGAGGAGGAGCATGGAAAATGAATGTTTTAAAGAGCTTGGGAGTTGACGTGCAGCGGGGGGATTTATGAAAACGAGGTTAAAAAGAATTGACGGGGGAAAAAAAAGGCGAAGGTGCGTTGAGGTTTGTGGAGACAAAAAAAATTTACTATGGAGGCAAAAAAGGGGAAAATGTATGAAAGTATAAGTACCAACACTCTTTTACAATGGAAGCTTGGGTTGTAAGCAGCAACTAGGAGGCGGTGGAGATTCCTTCTAAGGAGAAAGTGTGGATTAATAAAAGATTAGAGGGAGGGGAAGAGGGGTTGTTGGGGTGGTTTGGTCATTTAGAGAGAAAGGACAAAGTAAATGAAAGGAGAGTTTACAAAACTGTAGGGGAAAGGGAAGGCAAGGTCTCCTCAAAAGGTTGTAGGGAGGGGAAAAAGGAGGTTTTGGGGGCAAGGGACTTGGACTTCCAGCAAGGTGCGTGACAGTTCGGAGGATGGAGACGAATGATATTTGGGACCTGATGACTGTTGGAGTGTGACAGAAAATATTAAAAGGGGATTCAGGGAAACGGTTTTTTATAGCCAGCTTAGTCCTGGAAAGGGGAATACAAGCCTGCACTCTAAAGGGGGGGTTTTCGAAAATTTTAGCGTTTAAAGGGAAAAATTGTTTTTTTACACGTATATGCTTCTAAACTGTCGTGTTCGAGTACCCTGCAAAAACAGTGATTATAATGATGAGGTGAAAGTTTGAATGATGAAAGTATTTTCTTTTTGGGGTTTTCTTTCATTTTGGACCCCCGCCTCGGGGGGAGACCGCCGCTTTTTAATAAGTATAAATTATTTACAATTTTTTTTATTACTCTTTCGGGCTCTCACGAAGTCCCCTCCATTAACTTGCTGGGCTTTTCAGTTTTAGAATAAAATATGCATGAACCAGTGATACCTTAATTTTTGGCCTGTACAAGTTGACGTGATAATCTATTGGTAAAAAAAAAGTGGGAAATAATCAAGGCTGAACAGAGCTCCCTTCAAAAATATGTGGGCTGCATTTATGCTGTATGACTAATTTTAAAACAGTACATTATACCCAAATAAAGTTCCCAAGAACAAAATAAACAGAAAATTTGTGAACGAAATTTCCCCTTACAAGAATATGTATAAAAACAATCAGGGAAAAAAAAAAAAAAAATGAAAAATTATTTTTTATGAAGCCAAAATCTGAATTGCATTCCCCCCCCCCTCCCATAATTAGGGTAATAAAACCCCAATCCCTTAAATTATATCAATTTTAGTCATACAAACAACCCAATTTTTTTCCTAACAAAAAAAGTATATTGTAAATAAAGTTAACAACTTTTTCTTTATATGAATCTTGTCTGAAAATGGTCGATTTTTAAGCAATTCAAAACAAGCCAACGCACATAACAAATTCTTGTACAAGAAAATTGGGTGGAAACCATTTTTTTTCCCCACCCATTGGGGGTGATTCCAATCCCCCCGCCCCAAACCTTTTAAAAATTGCCACTTGCTAGATGTGGGCCCTATTTTAACTGCTCTTAAACTATGCAAGGAGCCCCTCTTCTTTCCACCAAAATCTTCCACTTTCCAACCACTAGCTTAAAAAATGCTTCCTAAGATCCTGGGGGTTCTTCTAGTCCCAAAAATTTCTTTTTTTCTCACCTTTCAAAAACCTTTGACTGTCTACCTTACCAATTCCAAGTATGTATTTTTGTTCTGTCCAGTGCGTTAGATCCAAATTTATTACCCCCCCCAAATTTTTTTTTCTCACCTCTGAAATAATGTAATGTATACACGCGTTGGGTTTTAAACATAACTACAAAAAAAGGGGTTTTATGTTTTATGCAGTTAAATTTTGGCTTTTATTTTTGATCTCATATTTGCTCAAGTGCAATTAAAACATTTAAAAATCCAAAACTCTTTCAAATCCTTTTCTCATTTTTTGCACAGTAAAATTCTTTAAGTTCAGATTATCAACATTACTCAGTGGATAGTTTATAGAGAAGTTTTTTTTCACAAATTAGATACTCTAACAGCGACACGAACATGTTCCTTCCACCTGAGATCACCTCATCCTCATCATAACAGAATGTGTCGACGAATTTCTTTTTGACCTGTCCCCTCTATTAACTGGGATTCTTCAACTTCATTGGGATCAAATCTCAGGCCTATAAAGAAAAAAATTTTTAAATTTTGACAGTAAAAGTTTCTTTTATGAATTTAGGGAAATGAACCATGCAGTATCCCGAATGTGTTAAAATTTGCAATGTTAAGCACTTAACCCAACAGGGTTATACAGCACTGATCCCGGGCACAGACATGTAAAACATCACAAAAACATGTAATTTAATTTTTCAACAAAACTTTCCTACCTTTTGGGAAAATCTTTTTTTAAGCCCGGAAATACGATCCGTGGTATGTGGATGGGAAGTCCCACAGGGAATTGAAAAAAACGCCCCTTTTCAAAGGGGTTCTTTTACTGTGGCATGCCTTCACCTAATACTGCTTTAATTTCCCCATTTTTTATTACCTCACCTGTTAAAGAAAATAGAGATCACAGATTATTACAAGAAAATGAAGTAAAGTGAAGAGATAAAATTACATGCGAGAGGTAAGGGAAGAACAAATAAACAGCCAGTATAAAGAATTGTTAAACTCAGGAATATACAGCCTCTCCTCACTTAGCAACATACTCATTTACCGACCACTCAGATTTACGCCCAACTTTCCAACCAGTATGCAAACCTAAATAATGTATATTAGAGCCGATTTCTTCTATTCTGTTTATTACAGTAAAACCCCTCTTCATGGGGGGGGGGGGGCTCCTTGGAGTGGTGAAGAGGCTCTTGGTCTGAATTATTAGACTTTTGGTCTCCTTCCTCAGACTGAACCTAATTACCCCCCACTCCCCCTTCCCTATCCCCTACCTGTTTTCAGCCTTTGGGATTCTCCCCACATGCATTCTAGTCCCTAGGTAGGGGGACGGGCACTGTGGTCCATCCCATTCCATTGGGGTTCTTGGCAGTGTAGTTTTCTGGGGAATCTGGATCACCTGGGGATGTCCTGTTCCCTCTCTGGTCCGGGGGGAAAAGGGAGGGGTCTGGCTTTGGGCGTCTTTTGGGTGATGGGTGTATTTCTGGAGGCTGCCTTTCGGATTCAGGGGGTGGTGGCCAAAGAAGGTATGCTTTGTGGCAGGGGTCTGGCCGCCCTCTCTTTTGTCCACTGAGGTGGCTTGGCAGATGTGAGGTTGCTATCCCGGATTGCTGGTTTACTAGCATGAAGGGTAGGGTATGGTACGAGTTTCATGCCACATCTGCACTGCTTGCGGTGCTGAGGTCCTCTTGGGTGCAGAGGGAGATTTATGGCCCTTTCATTCCTCCTAGTTCCCTTTTTTTTCTTTTCTTTTTTCTAAAAAACAAAACGAAAGAAGTGACATAACCATGGAGTTCTCAATCCAGGAACCTGCTCCACCGAGCCCCTTCCTGATACTGCACCCTGTTCCGACCCTGCCTTGTTATTTGACCACTCTCCAGACATTTCTAATGTCCCTGTATCTCCTGCTGGTGCCGTTTTGACACCTGCTCCAGGTACAGTGGACCCCCAGATTAAGACGTCATCGGATTAAGTAACTTTTTGCGTCAAAATATTGGCTTGGTTAACGACACTGAACTCAGTCATTCGTCCCGAACATGTCCATGTGCCATGAGTGGCCAGACATTCAATGTACAGCCAGTGAGGATGATTCCACACATACATGTGATACATTTTGTATTCCATTTTTTTTAGTGCTTGTAACTGCTTAATAAGCCACCATGGGCCCTAATTAGGCTAGTGCCAGCCCTTTGGTAAAGAGGGTGAGAAACACTATAGAATTCAAGAAAAAGTTTGTAGAAAGATACAAAAGTGGTGGTGGTAGAGGGTGGTAGTGATGGTGGTACACCAGTCAGGGTACTACCCCACACACCAGCCAGGGTACTTCACACACTAGCCAGGGTGCTTCCCCCACACACTAGCCAGGGTACTTCCCCACACACCAGCCAGGGTACTTCCCCACATACATGATTTGAGTGGGACTTGTGCATGAGTGAATGGAATTATCACAGCTTATTGCTTGGGAAGCATTGAAAATCGAGTTGGGCAAATACAATTATGTTAGTGGGATGGTTTTTGAAGGACTTGCCTAGTATGGGCCAACAGGCCTGCTGCAGTGTTCCTGCTTTCTTATGTGCAAACATTTATGGATGAACATCACACTGACACAGCTGTTGCAAGCCCATGCTGGCAACATCTAGAATGACAATGTTGTGTCCCATTTTAGGGAAATCTTAGAGATGCCAGAAACAGAGCTCTCTGGACAGATATTTAGTGCCACAGGCATGCAGTGACTCAAGCTGGTCCTAGTGGCATTAAAAAACAAAGAAGGGAAGTAACCCCAGAAAAGGACTTGGTACCTGAAGTCTTTATGGAAGGGGATTCCCCTTCCAAACAATAGTACACCTCCATCCTCTCCTCTCCCCTCCTCCCGTCTCATTACTCATCAATAAGTCTTCAATAAAGGCAAGTGTCATTTTATTAATATTTTACTCTGCATGTCTGATTGTTTTCTGTGTAGGGAAATGTATATTTCATGTAAAAAATTTTTTGTTTAATACTTTTGGGTATCTGAAATGGATTAATTGGATTTCCATTATTTATGGGGAAAATTAATTTGAATTAAGTCAGATTCGGTATAAGACACTCTCTCTGGAACGGATTAATTACATTATCCGGGGGGTCCACTGTACTGGGGTTCCGCCTGACTCCTTTGATACATCTGACCTCCACACTGCTTTGACCAGGCTTCCAGTTTCTCCCTCTACGGTGCAGCAAGTTTTGGATCGGCTGCCCATCCCACATTGGACCAACTCCAGTCCCACACCTAAATGCCCAAGACCATTAACTTATGATACTACTTCGCTTCCTTCTCATTCTACTCAGAAAAGACTGGCACGTCATGCACACCCCCTACATGCTATGTTTCAAAATATACAATGGACTAAGTTTTTTACTCTATGACTGACTTCCTCTACTGCCTATCTTTACAACCATAGTATTAGCAAGGCGCTGTATAGCCCTTGTGGCTTAGCGCTTCTTTTTTGATTATAATAATAATTAGCAAGGCACTTCTACACCATGTCAGTAGAGATATATCCTTTCATGTTCTCAAGAGCAGTACACACATCATGGTTCAGAATGCTAGCCAAGCTCACGATCTTTCTCTCCTTACAACCATCAATGCTATTCCTGTAACTATTGAAAAAACATCATTCCCTCAATTCTTGTAGTGGTACTGTCATTCTACCCCATACCATTGTCCAACAAAATTTCCAGACATATGGTGATGACATTCTGGAACAGCTTGAGCTCCAAGACCTCCCAATCCTCAAAGTAGTAGACTTATGTCCTCCCTGCCCACAGGCAGAAACGATATCCTTGCAATGTAGCTCACTTAACTTTTTGACTGTAATGAGCTTCAGTCCTCTATTTATATTGCGGGACACCGTTTACAAGTTCGAAAAGTGATCCCTACACCACAACAGTTTAGAAATTGCTGGTGTTATGGTCATCCAGCGAAATATTGCAGGTCCATAGCCAAATGCCCAGTCTTTGGTGCTGAAGACCATACCAATGTCTTTAGTCTACCTCCCTCTTGCCTTAACCCTTTCAGGGTCGGTGCCATACTAGTAGGACTTGTACGCCAGGGTTAATGCCGTACTAGTACGTGTAAATTCTAGCGCCTTCAAATCTAGCAAGAGAAAGCTGGTAGGCCTACATATGAAAGAATGGGTCTATGTGGTCAGTGTGCACAGTATAAAAAAAAAATCCTGCAACAGTGCATAATGCGAGAAAAAAAAAAAAACTGACCATGTTTTTGCTTTAAAACAGCGATTTTGCAGTGTATTTTCGTATGGTATTTATGGTTGTACGTATTCTAGTTTTCCTGGTCTCATTTTATAGAATGGAAGACATATTACAGAAATTGAGATGATTTTGATTGGTTTCACAATGCAAAGTAGCAGAAATGTTCGATTTTTGCCAAAGTTCAAAAGTAAACAAATCATGCCAAGCGTCCAATACATGCCAACTGGCGAGTCTAATATTTTTTCACGAGTGCGCTGATATTATTTATACCATTTCTACACTAATTCAGTAGTCTGCATAACAGAAAATCTTCTATTTTTTGTGAGAATAAAAATTCAAAGTGGAAAGCAAAAGAAATGTAAATGGGGCCTGGGGACGTGACTTATGAACAGAGAAAAATTTTTATTTTAGTGTCAGGAATGCCTGTCTTGTTTATTCTGGACCCTATTTGGAAATTGGCATCTTTTGAAATTTGTGTGAAATTGGCAAAATTGCCAATTTCTGACCAGTTTATTGGATAGCTGAAATCCATAAATGGGTGGTTTCTTGTACTCAATCGATAGAAAAAATAGAGTTCTAGCGAAATAATTATGATTTTTGTTGACTGGTACATTGGAATTGGCTGAAAATTGGGCTCAAAGTGGGCAAAATCCCCGATACATAAACATCGTCGAGACCACTAACTTCGCGAGAGCATAATTCCGTAAGTTTTCTATCAAATTTCATACTTTTAGTGTCATTATGATCGAGAAAAATTCTCTATCATTTCATGATTTTTTTTTTTTTTTTTTTTTTTTTTTTTTTTTTTTTTTTTTTTTTCAAAAAATTTTTGACCCTGAGAACAAGTTTAGGAAAGGGCCTCTCGGCCCTGAAAGGGTTGTCACGAGGCTCACCCACCTTATTATTGCCGTTGCCAAGTTTACTTAAATGAGCATGAAATACGTTGTCTCAAAGAGGCAGAAGGCTTCCTGTATGCTATGGCAGTCTCTCATCTATGCCTCCAAGGGAGACTTCCCCGTATTTCTTATTCTCGAGTTACTAAACGCCCCCCCCCCCCACCTCTGGGGTCCCAACTTCCGCAGCCTCCTCTGTGGTCACCCCTTCCACAGTCACCCGTCTCTAATTCTTTTGTTGTCCTGGACTCGGAGGTCCCTATCTCAATACCTCCTCACAAGTCCCCCGAGTCTACAAGACCTCGTAAAACAACAACTCTCCATTGCCCCTCTACTTCTCAGAAGTCCAAAAAATCCCCATTGCTCAAATCTCCTTTAACCCCTCCTTCCCTTCTACCTCCACTTTTTCCTTTCCAGTCTCTAACTAGTTCTTCACCTCTAACTGGCTCTGTTACAAGTGTGGAGGTTCATCATCCTCCTCGTACTGTACCTTCCTCTCCTGTCCCCTCCCAAGTTTCTTCTCCAGGTCCCTCTACCTTTGTCCCCCCACTACTTTGGTACAGTCCGCTATCGCCCTGATCTTTACTCGCCCTCCTCCTTCCATGTTCAATATTGTCTCCCATACTATGTCCTTGTCCTCTGATACACTTGAAGCTATCTCAGAATATATTGATAAAATTAGACCATTGATGGACACCAATCCACCTCCTCTTCCTATTCACTCTTCTCCGTCTGCACAAC